GAGTTCTGCTCTGCTACTATGTAAAAAAATACTATCCCCGACCATTTTTAATTGTCATAGTTTCCTTTTTTATAGTCAAAACCATAAAAACGCTGCTAATATTTTATGATGTATTTTTTTTTATCATATTGATATGCAAAAAAATTGCAATTTATAACACTTTTCGTATAGTTTTTGAATATCTAATTTTTTTGTTTAAAATATCAAATTAATGTAATCTAATTTATCTTTGAAAATTAATCAACTTTACTTTCGAAAAATGCCACATGACTAATAAAAATGGACAGAGAGAGTAGATCTTATTCTAATTCAACTTAAAAAATAGCTGAGGATGGGAAAAAGATTGACCAAGATTACATATATTTCACGTTTGATGAATTTATTGATCTTTTATTCACATTAGTTGTGAATAATTTTCATTGCATTAATTATTGAGTCGTGTATTTAATATTAAAGACTTTAATTTAATTCAACACGTTGATCAGGTATACCCTGGAAAAAATATCAATTAAATGAGACGTAGATTGAGTTTATTTTTTTTCTTTCGTTTTCCATTTGGTGTCAGCTATTCGCGCTTCCAAACAAAGGTGATTTCGTACCCAAGGGAACTTGAACCCAAGACCACTTAGTTAAGGATAAAAGAGTATTTACCACTCCATCACAACCCTTATTATATTGGTGATTGAGGTTATTATTGGTTTCGTTTTGTGGAATATCACAATGTTATTTCAATCATATACGTCTTTCCACATGATGTCACGCTAATAATTTATGATGCTTAATAATAAGTAGAGGTAGCTGGGCTGAAACAAATGAATAATAATTCCCTGCCATAGTTTGGTGAGCATTAATTAATATAGTACCACTTATTTTGTTCTTGTTCAAACACATTTTATTACTATCATATTTAGAAACAAAAGAAAACACGAATCAAAAATAATTTCACTCACAATAATCTTTAAAAACCAAATCTAAGCACTCATAAAAATATATTTTCTTACTTCTATAACTTTGAATAGCAAAATTGCATGTCCGGAAATAAAATAGCAAACAAAAAAAATCAAATTACAATCGGAAAATAAGTATTACATGGTGGAGTGGATGCGTTGTAACTTTGCAACAGGGCGAAACTAGCTAGGAAAATCTTATATTTCTATTTAATTTCTTCTATATTTGACCAAGTCAAATTATGATATCTTATTGATTGTTAAAATTTCTCAAAATAACTATAATTAATAGATAATTCATAATTGAATTGAGAAAATCAACTATAAATCTCAAATTCTGGATCAAGCATGTACATACTTTGCAAGATTCAAAAACAACCTAGCCTCTCAAGCTCGATTTTTGCGTAAAATTTATGTGATCATTCGATTAGTGGTGGTGGTGGTGATACTAGCGCTAGTAGTGGTGTTGATGGTGGTGGTGATACTAGCTCTAGCAGTGGTGGTGATGATGATGGTGGTGGTGGTGGTGATATAGCGCTGGTGCTGATGGAGGTGGTGATGGTGATGGTGGACCTGGTACTGGTGAAGGTGGTGGTGGTACATCAATCTTCCAACGATGTCCTACATTAAGCTTTGGTGTTGGCGGTGCTGGTACGACTCCACCCTTATCCCGGTCTAAACTTTTTAATGCTTTTGCTGAAAGATTACAACACTTGTAGTCCACCATCATTAATTCATGGATGAGTAAGGAAATTAGTAGACATGACATTTTGTATGTAGGCTTCATTGTGAAAATAAGTTTACCGAAGCACCACTATGATACATAATATGAAATAATATCATGTCACACTAATAATTTAAGTTTTTAGATATGATGCTTAACACGATTTCAATATATAATATTAGAGCATATATATAATGAAGTCTCTGGTGCAAGTCTCACTATCATCATTTATTATAAGAAAAATAATCAAATTCTCACCAAAGAAAACTCCTAATATATAGATCGTAATACAACACACACATATACATTATCATATCTAACTAAAAACTTTAAATAAGATCATCACTAATCTCGACATATAAATTTTTTGGATCGTTTGGTACAAAGATTAATAACGCAGGAATTAGTAATGCAAGTGTTAGTAGTGCATGGATTGGTCATCTTAATAAATTGATCACTCACAAAAGTCAATGTTCAATTTAAAAAAGATAAACCATCTATTTTTAAAATCGAAAATATGGTAAACAACACAAGATCTTAATATCGGTAATAAATAATTGAGACGAGTTTTGCTCTGCTACTATGTAAAAAAATGCTATCCCCGTCCACTTTTAATTGTCATAGTTTCCTTTTTTAGAGTCAAACAATAAAAACGTTGCTAATATTTTATGATGTATTTTTTTTTATCATATTGATATGCAAAAACATGCAATTTATAACACTTTTCGTATAGTTTTTGAATATCTAATTTTTTTGTTTAAAATATCAAATTAATGTAATCTAATTTATCTTTAAAAATTAATCAACTTTACTTTCGAAAAATGCCACATGACTAATAAAAATGGACAGAGGGAGTAGATCTTATTCTAATTCAACTTTAAAAAATAGCTGAGGATGGGAAAAAAGATTGACCAAGATTACATATATTTCAGGTTTGATGAATTTATTGATCTTTTATTCACATTAGTTGTGAATAATCATTGCATTAATTATTGAGTCGTGTATTTAATATTAAAGACTTTAATTTAATTCAGCACGTTGATCAGGTATACCCTGGAAAAAAATATCAATTAAATGAGACGTAGATTGAGTTTATTTTTTTTCTTTCGCTTTCCATTTGGTGTCAGCTATCCGCGCTTCCAAACAAAGGTGATTTCATACCCAAGGGAACTTGAACCCAAGATCACTTAGTTAAGGATAAAAGAGTATTTACCACTCCATCACAACCCTTATTGGTGATTGAGGTTATTATTGGTTTCGTTTTGTGGAATATCACAATGTTATTTCAATCATATACGTCTTTCCACATGATGTCACGCTAATAACTTATGATGCTTAATAATAAGTAGAGGTAGCTGGGCTGAAACAAATGAATAATAATTCCCTGCCATAGTTTGGTGAGCATTAATTAATATAGTACCACTTATTTTGTTCTTGTTCAAACACATTTTATTACTATCATATTTAGAAACAAAAGAAAACACGAATCAAAAATAATTTCACTCACAATAATCTTTAAAAACCAAATCTAAGCACTCATAAAAATATATTTTCTTACTTCTATAACTTTGAATAGCAAAATTGCATGTCCGGAAATAAAATAGCAAACAAAAAAATCAAATTATAATCGGAAAATAAGTAATACATGGTGGAGTGGATGCATTGTAACTTTGCAACAGGGCGAAACTAGCTAGGAAAATCTTGATTGAAAGTTCATATATATTTCTATTTTCTTCTATATTTTGACCAAGTCAAATTATGATATCTTATTGATTGTTTAAATTTCTCAAAATAACTATAATTAATAGATAATTCATAATTGAATTGAGAAAATCAACTATAAATCTCAAATTCTGGATCAAGCCTTTACATACTTTGCAAGATTCAAAAAACAACCTAGCCTCTCAAGCTCGATTTTTGCGTAAAATTTATGTGATCATTCGATTAATAAAATCTACAAATCTTCTCATAGTTGTAGCGTAGTGGTGGTGAGCATGGATAGCTTACCGGTGGTGGTGATACTGAAGGTTTGATGGTGGTAACGATGATGGTGATGATGATGAAGAAGGTGGTGGTGCTAGTGCCTGTACACTGGTGGAGGTGATGATGGTGATGGTGGTGGTGATACTAGCGCTAGTAGTGGTGGCGATGATGGTGATGGTGATGGTGGTGGTGGTGGTGATACTAGCGCTAGTAGTGGTGGTGATGATGATGGTGGTGGTGGTGGTAATACTAGCGCTGGTGCTGATGGAGGTGGTGATGGTGATGGTGGACCTAGTACTGGTGAAGGTGGTGGTGGTACATCAATCTTCCAACGATGTCCTACATTAAGCTTTGGTGTTGGCGGTGCTGGTACGACTCCACCCTTATCCCGGTCTAAACTTTTTAATGCTTCTGCTGAAAGATTACAACACTTGTAGTTCACCATCATTAATTCATGGATGAGTAAGGAAATTAGTAGACATGACATTTTGTATGTAGGCTTCATTGTGAAAATAAGTTTACCAAAGCTTCACTATGATACATAATGTGAAATAATATCATGTCACGCTAATAACTTAAGTTTTTAGATATGACGCTTAACACAATTTCAATATAATAATAGAGCATATATATAATGAAGTCTCTGGAGCAAGTCTCACTATCATCATTTATTATAAGAAAAATAATCAAATTCTCACCAAAGAAAACTCATCATAGATCCTAACGCACACACATATACATTATCATATCTAACTAAAAACTTTAAATAAGATCATCACTTACCTCGATATATAACTCTTTGGGGTCATTTGGTACAAAGATTAATAACGCAAGGATAAGTAATGCAAGTGTTAGTAGTGCATGGATTGGTCATCTTAATAAATTGACCACTCACAAAAGTCAATGTTCAATTTAAAAAAAGATAAACCATCTATTTTTAAAATCGAAAATATGGTAAACAATAATAAAATTAAATAAATATATGTATGCAATTTTATAATATATATAATAGGTAAATGTAGAGGTAGCTGGCTGAAACAAATGCATAATAATTCCCTGCCAGAGTTTGGTGAACATTAATTATTTTCTGTTCAAACACATTTTATATTCGCTATTGGCTTACCCTTATATTAGGCCTTGGTACGGCCAATACATGATGGATGAAGGTTTTGTCAAGGTTAAAAATGGATACTAGCACCTATACAATACTGTTGGAGGTGGTGATAGTGATGGTAGAGTTGGTACTGGTGAAGGTGGTGGTGGTGATGACAATGATGATGGTGGTGGTGGTGATGATGAAGGTGGAGGTGGTGATACTAGCGCTAGTGGTGGTGGTGGTGATGATGATGACGATGTTGGTGGTGGTGGTGATACTAGCGTTGGTGCTGATGGAGGTGGTGATGATAATGGTGGACCTGGTACTGGTGAAGGTGGTGGTGGTCCTGGGGGTACATCACGCTTCCAACGACGTCCTACATTATGCTCTGGTGTTGGCGGTGCTAGTACGACTCCACCCTTATCCCGGTCTAAACTTTTTAATGCTTCTGCTGAAAGACTACAACACTTGTAGTCCACCATCATTAATTCATGGATGAGTAAGGAAATTAGTAGACATGACATTTTGTATGTAGGCTTCATTGTGAAAATAAGTTTACCAAAGCTCCACTATGATACATAATATGAAATAATATCATGTCACACTGATAACTTAAGTTTTTAGATATGATGCTTAACACGATTTCAATATATAATATTAGAGCATATATATAATGAAGTCTCTGGTGCAAGTCTCACTATATCATTTATTATAAGAAAAATAATCAAATTCTCACCAAAGAAAACTCCTCATATATAGATCATAATACAACACACACATATACATTATCATATCTAACTAAAAACTTTAAATAAGATCATCACTAATCTCGACATATAAATTTTTTGGGTCGTTTGGTACAAAGATTAATAACGCAGGGATTGATAATACATTGTTTATTTTTATCAAGTGTTTGATTCATTGTTTCTCACCTTATCTTGTGTTTGAATTAAAACTTTATAAAAAGTTTCTTTTCAATTATACCCTTGAATTATTATGTAATTGGTCAAGGTAGATAATTTCCATTTGCTGGAAAATATTAGTACGATTTTTCTATGGCCTTCTAACTAGCTAGAAGAAGAATAATTTTGTTGTCATATTTGCTAGTTTTTTTCATTTGAATTATTTGAAGATAAATAATTATCATCTTAATAAATTGATCACTCACAAAAGTCAATTTTCAATTTAAAAAAGATAAATCATCTACTTTTAAAATCAAAATTACGATAAGCAATGATAAAATTGAATAAATCATTTACACATAATGGTAAGTTATCGTTTTAATAATAGGTAAATGTAGAGGTAGCTGGCTGAAACAAATGCATAATAATTCCTTGCCAGAGTTTGGTGAGCATTAATTATTTTATGTTCAAACACATTTTATTATTATATAAATTTAAAAACAAATTAAAAAAAAAATGAATCAAAAATAATTTATTTAACACTAATCTTCGAAAACCAAATCTAAGTACTCATAAAAGAAATATTTTCTGTACTTCTATCCTTTTGAATAGTAAAATTCTCGTGTATCGAAAATAAAATAGCAAAAAAAAAAATCAAATTAAAATTGGAAAATAAGTAGTACATAGTGGGAGTGGACACATTGTAACTTTGCTAGCAAGAGAGATCTTGAATGGAAGTTCATATATATTTCTATTTTTTCCCATTCTGACTAAGTCAAATCCCGATGTCTTATTAATTATTAAGATTTCACAAAATAACTATAATTTACTAGATAATTGAATTCAATAAATCAATCATAAATCTCAAATCCTGGATCAATTAGCCTCTACAGACTTTGTAAGATTTAGAAAACTTACTAGCTCTCAAGCTCGATCTTTGCACAAAATTTACATGATTCGATTAATAAGATCTACAAATTAAATCTTCTCATAGTTGTAGCATTGTGGCAGTGAGTGTGGTGCTCATGGATACCTTATAATCGGTTATGGTGGTTGTGATGATGATGAAAATGGTGGTGCAAGCCCTAGTGGTGGTGGAGGTAGTACTGGTGATAATGGTGGAGGTGGTGATACTAGCGCTAATGCTAATGGAGGTGGTGGTGGTGGTGATAGCGGAGAAGATACTGGTGAAGGTGGTGATAATGATGGTGGAGGTGACAATACTAGCGCTAGTGTTGATGGAGGTGGTGGTGGTGATAGTTGTACATCATGTCGCCTCCAACGACTTCCTACATTATGTGTTGGTGGTGGTGGTGGTGCTGCACGTCCACCAATATTCCGGTCTAAACCATCTACCTCTCCCGCAACATTGTAGGAAAATTGATGTATTGATGCTTCTACAAGATTGGAACACTTGTAGTCCACCATCACTAATTCATGGATGAGTAGGAATAATAGTAGACATGAAATTATATATGCATGTTTCATTGTGAAAACAACCTCATCAAATTTCCACTATGATATATAATATGAAATAATAACGCTTACTATAATAACTTAAGTTTTTAGATGTAATATTAAATACAATTTCAACATATAATATTAGAGCATATATATAATGAAGTTTTTGGTGCAAGTTTCACTATCACCATTCATTTTAAAAAAATATATCATGCTTTTAACTTTTAAAAAATAATAATCAAATTCGCACATGAGAAGATTTATCTAACTAAAATCTTTAAATAAGATCATCACTTACCTCGATATATAAACTTTGTGTTTAATCCCTCAAAAATAACATATTTAAAAACAAATTATCCAGATTCAACCATATAATATGTAGAGCGCTTTCTACTTTTTAGAATATTTTGAACTTATATATAATCTCATTAAAATTTTGACGAAATGAAAGATAAAAATATTTTTTTTGAGTAGTCCCATCATTTTCCCCCAAAAAAATAAATGTTTTGGTCTGGTCCCATGGCTTTTATGTTAACACGGTTTTGAAATTGAAGTCTTTATCACCATTAAATGGTGTGATGGATCGATAAATACCCCTCTTCTTATATTAATATTAATTTTCCATCTTATTCCAAATAATTGTCCCAAATTAATCTATCAATTTACTTTTATGTATTTTGTCAAAGAACTTCTTTTTTATAAATAAAAGAGAAATATGAATCAAAATACATAATAAATTCTCTCGCAAGACCTAATCCTTTATAAATCTATTATTCTTAAAACCAAATCTAAACACTCACAAAAACAAACATGTGGGAGAGGACATGATGTCGTTTTGAACCCAATAATAAATATATATGTTTTAGAATTCAGAATTTAAAAACTCAAAACTCTAGCTCTACCTCTGTCACTTCATGAACAACTTGTCGGTGCTGATGATGGTGATTGTGGTGGTGGCGTAAAAGGGAAATGCATATGAGATACCATACTAGCCTGTGGTGGTGTGATTCTTGTTTTTTTCCCTTTTAAACCTCTTAGCTCTCTAGCAATCTTGAATTGAGAAAACAATTTCTTGTAGGAATTATCATATTGTTGAATAGACCTTGATGTTGCTTCATGAATAATACAGGATATAAGAAGAAATGAAATTATACAATATGCTAGCCTCATTCTTTCAAATTTTCAAATAGTAATGAAGTTTCTTGAAAATTAAGTTCACAACATTCCAATTTATATTACTCTCTCTCTAATTACTTCTTCTTTTTTTATTTGAACTCTTATGAATATGAAAATAATGGTTAAATCGAAGTCAACAGTCAATTGCTCATATCGAAAATAGAGTTGACTAGCGATTTTGAAGGAACTTGTTGGTTGACTTTTAAACCAAACCATATAAAATGTAATTATATATAACTTTATTAACAACTAACATTAAATGATTATCTAAAATAAATGGTGTACGTGACAACGTGAGTAACAACATTATTACTTAATGTATAACAAGTTGAATTATTCTAATAATTTTATTTTTAAAAATGCATGATATAACTTAAATCCGCTAAATAATTTAATTTATATCTTCATAGACGACTATAAGAATAAAAAAATATTAGCAACTCATTTTTGAAAAGTTGACTCTCAAGTCTGTCATTCTGCTAAAATTGAGGTAATATTTATCAATATTCAAGAGGTAGGTTTAGACAATAATTTTGAAAAAGAATTAAAAATTCTTTTGAATTTTATAGTCTGAAATATGCTATAATATTTGTATGATAATAAAAACTTGTCACTAAATGTAAAATAAAAATAAAAAAATTATTTTATATTTAAAAGTAGGGGTGTACATGATCGGGTTGGTTCGGGTTTTTCAAATATCAAACCAAACCATTTGTGTAAAAATTTTAAATTTATAAACCAAACCAAACTAATAAAATTCTGATTTTTTTGGGTTTTTCAACCTCGGGTTGGTTCGGGTTTTTCAATTACCAAACCAAACCATTGTGTCGAATTTTTAAATTTATAAATCAAACCAAACTAATAAACCTCGGATTTTTTTAGATTTTTGGATTTTTTCGGTAAAGTTTGCATACAAACATATAATTAACTTGTGCTCCAAATATTTCTTTAGCCAACCAAAATACAATTATCTACGGTGTTTCTTAAGAAAATAACACAAAATATGAGATGAGTACTGATGACACTAAAATATTCAATAAAAAATAATAATGAAATCATCATATAAAATAAATATTGCAAAGTCATAATGAAAATGATCATAATTTAAAAGTACTAAATAATGTTAAAATAAGTTTAATAAGTATTAGTTACATTACTAAATATTTAAGGAAAATTAAAATTAGATTATGTATTTTAATTATCTAAATCAATGTAAAACTAAAGAACAAATATTCAATATTATTGTCATTTTTAGTGTTGAATTGATTTTCTTTTTGCATTAGTATTAATTTGATTTTGATTTAAGTTTTATTATAATTATCAACATCTATGAACTATAATCTTTATTGGACCATTCCGAATTCTAAGTTTTAAACTTGAAATAATACATTAAAAGATAAAAACTATGAAATAGTATAAGAAATATTTTTAAATTATATCAAAGTAAATATTTTTATGTATAAAATAAAATTTTAACATATATAATGTCAGGTTGATTTTTTTAGTTAAAACCAAACCAACCCAACCCAACCCAAATATAGTCGGGTTTTTTTTTTTAATACCAAACCACTAGTCAGATTTTTTTTCGATTTAACTCAATTTGCGATTTGATTCGGTTTTCGATTTTGTACATCCCTATTTTAAAGGAGTCGATCTTTCTGAAACGCACTCAAAAAATTAGTATAACATAAACTTAAATGGAGTGAGTACTCAAAAAATGTATTTTATCGAAGAACTTCTTTTTAAAAGCAAAAGACAAACATGAATCAAAATACATAATAAATTCTCTCACAATAAAATCCTAAAACTTTAATTCTAAATCCAAAATTTAGCACTCACCAAAAAAATATGTGGGAAGCGACATGATGTCTCGAACTCGATATAATATATTTTTTAGAATTCAGAACCTATAAACTCAAAATTTTAACCACGTCTTGTTATTAGCTTGTTGGTGCTAATGGAGGAGGAGGTGGTTGTCGTGGAAGCGGCGCCGTAGGAGGGAGATGCATACCAGATCCCTTATTAGCCTCTGGTGGTGTCATTGTTATTTTTTGGCCTTTTACACCTCTTAGCTCTCTAGCAACTTTAAATTGAGAAAACAATTTCTTGTAGGAATTATCATATTGTTGAATGGACCTTGCTTTTGCTTCATATATATTCAAGGATATTATTAGAAGAAATGAAATTATGTATGCTAGCTTCATTCTTTCAAATTTTCAAGTAGTAATGAAGTTTCTTCAAAATTAAGTCATCACATCATCCCTATTTATATCAATATCATAATCCTAAGTCAAAAGGTTGAAAAAATCAACGTTACTATTTGAACAACTTGAAGTTTTCTTGGTTTTGGTTTATTGATATGAAAGTGATGGTTAAATTGGATTGACAGATTCACTATCGTATGCAAATGACTTTTTATTAGCAACTCGTTTTTGAAAAATTGACTCTTTGACTCTGGGTCCTGAAGGTCAAAGCATAATAGGTTTATGTTACAATATTTGTGTAGTTATAAAAGATTGTTATTTAAGATTAAAAAAATGAAATAAACAAGTTAAATTATTTTTGTATTTAAAGGAGATAGTCTATTAATGTAAACTTAAATGGCGCGTATATATAATCAACAATTGATTCATCCAAATCCAAATTCAACACTTACAAAAATTGGTACCTTCAAAATTTCCAAAAGGACCCCAATTGGCACCTCTAGTGTATTTTGATCTATATTGTTCAGATCATTTTAGAAATATTATTGAATGTGTATTGAATCCTCCAAAAAAGTATATTCCATACGACATATATATTGTTTTCAATTAACATTTTGGTTATGTCATCTCTATTGCAACTCTATTGCTTAATTGAAGAAATAAAACCGTTAAAATGAACTTGGCTCGCGAAAATCAACCCATCTAACATGTTAATTACGTAGGATCGAGCTAAGATTTTTCAAACTTATTTGTTGGAGAACATGCTTCCAAGGAATTCTAAAATTAGGCTTTGGTGATAATAATAGTGTTGGTATAAATAATTATTTGTATTCTTCTTCAAAAGTTATTTTTAAAAACAAAAAAAAACATGAATAGTAATACATAATAAATTCACTCACAATAATCTTGAATCCATCCAACCACAACCAAATCTAAGACTCGCAACAAAAAGAACATATAAAGGGGGACTCAATCTTACTTATAGTTATGGCATCCATCCAACCACAACCAAATCTAAGACTCGCAACAGAAAGAACATATAAAGGGGGACTCAATCTTACTTATAGTTATGGCGAGCGAATGAAGCTATATATCTACTTACAAAATCACTAATTCTTAGCCCTTATATTTGTATTTTTTTTAAAATTAAACTAGAACAAAGTAATCTACCCTTTTCAGAATTCAGAATCTATAAATCCAAAATTCTAGTCTGTCCTTGTCAGCTCATGTTCAACCTATTGGTACTGATGGAGGCACGGGTGGTGGTGATGGTAGTCACGGAGTTGGTGGTAGTGGTGAAGATGATGATGATGATAGTGGAAGTGGTGATAGTAGCGCTAGTGTTGTTGGAGGTGGTAATGGTGATGGTGGTGGTGGCCCTAGGGGTACATCGCACTTCCAATGATGCTCTGGTGTTGGCGGTGCTGGTGCGCCTCCACCGATATTTCGGTTTAAACTTTTTAATGCTTCTACTGAAAAATTGCAACACTTGTAGTCCATCATCACTAATTTATGGATGAGTAAGGATATTAGTAGACATGAAATTTTATGTGTATGGTCTCATCGTAATAACTTAAGTTTTTAGATATGTTGTTTAATACAATTTTAATATAGAATATTAGAGCATATATATAATGAAGTCTCCAGTGCAAGTTTTGTTATCGTCATTCATTGTAAAAAAAATATTATCAAATTCGCACCTAAGAAAATTTATTATAGATCATATATACATTTGTGTCCTAGCTAACTAAAATCTTAAATAAGATGATCACATACCGAACATAGTCCTCCAAACGAATATTAAATAATCTAATTAAAATTTTGACAAAATGAAAGCAACTCAAATTCAACATTAAAACCAAAATAAAAGTTTGATCAAAAGGAAAAGCATTATAACGTGATGAATATCTTAATAAAAATAGTTTTTTTTTAGTAGTCTCATCATTTTCCCCAAACAATTAAATGCTTTCGTCTTGGACCATGACTTTTAAGGTACCACGCGGTATTAAAATTGAAGTCTTTATCACCATTAAATGTTGTGGTTGACGGATAAATACTTCATTCATTTTATTTTAGTTATTTATTTTATCATAAATAGTTATTTCAAATTACTTTCTCCATTTATTTTTTTGTATTTTTTCGAAGAACTTATTTTTTAAAACAAAAAAAAAGTTCAAAAATACTCCCCAGCTATTGGAAAAGTATATTGACCCACTTTTACCCTTCAAAACTAATAGATGTCATATTACCTCAAAAATCACAATAAATAAATTTATTTTGCTGACTGATAGTATTATCATATTGTTGGATGGATCTTGCTACTTCATGGATAATATCAAGGATATTAGAAGAAATTAAATTATAGATATTGACCTCATTGTGTCAAATTTTCAAATAGTAATGAAGTTTCTTGAAAATTAGCTCATCACAACATCTCAATTTAATCCTAAGTCAAAGGGTTGAAAAAATCAACGTCACTATTTGAACAACTCAGAGTTGTCTTTTTTTGCTTTATCGATATGAAAATGAACGTTAAATTGGATTAAATTATCAATTACTTCTGCCATAAATTGAATTGACTATCGATTGTGAATGAGCTTGTTGGTTGACTTTGACAATCGCATTATAAAATAGTGACTTCCGAATCAGATCATTTGAAAGGTAATTACGTACATATAATATTATCAATAACAAATATTAAATAATATAAAAAATAGATGATGTTAGATTACATTGATAATGTAAAATAAATTGTTTACATTATCAACCTATATAACTTGAAAAAATAGAACCAACACCAAACTAGACTATTTTGAGTCCTTATTAAAACACACTAGCTCTTCAAGCTTAGCTTGATAACAATATTGGTACAATTATTTTTAATCAATTCTTTTTTTAAAATTATTTTTAAAAAACTACAAAAGAAAACAAAAATAAAAAAAAAACACTCTCAATAATCCTGAATCCATCCTTCACACAACCAAATCTAAGCGCGCGCACACATACAAACACAAAAAGGATATAACTACTTACAAATATAACATAAATCACTAATTTTAAGCGCCCTTATATTTGTATTAAAAAAAACTAATCTATCTTTTTCAGAATTCAGAATCTATTAACTCAAAATTATATCTCTGCCTCTGTTAGTTCAAGTTCAACTTATTGGTGTTGATGGAGGTAGGGGTGGTGGTGGTGGTACCTTCAGAGATGGTGGTGATGGTGGCGGTGGAGTTCGTGGTGGTGGCATCATAGGAGGGAGATGCATATGAGATTCCTTATTAGATTGTGGTGGTGGCATTGTTATTTTGCCTCTAATTAAACCAAAACCTCTTAGCTCTCTAGCAATCTTGTATTGAGAAAATAATTCCTTGTAGGAATTATTATATTGTTGAATGGATCTTGATGCTACTAATTCCACACAAATTAAGTCATGAATAATCAAAGATATTAGAAGAAATGAAATTATACTTACTCCCCTCATTCTTTCAAATAGTAATGAGTATGAAAATTAAGATATCACCACATCCCTATTTATATTACTGTTGTGCATTTTTATGAATTTTTTTATAGATCGATAAAATAATACGCTAGCTAATCGTGACTCATGAGTAAAAAAAAAAAGGGTCGAGAAAATCAATGACATTATCATATGCTAGAACAACTAATACTAGGTTAAATCCACTAAAAATTTAATTGATATTTATTTGTTCCAAGTTCCAACTTGTTGAATTTTTTTGTAGATGATTAATAATAAAATATTTTTTATACTATAGTCCAATCACTTTCCCAAATTAATTTAATGATTTAGTCAGAACGTACCCGTGACTTTTACAACTTGTTTGTGAAAAGTTGACTCGTTGACTCTAAAGTCTTTGTCATTTTGCTTGTTGAAATTGAGGTCTTTTCAAGAGATATGTCACATACCAAAAAAAGGAAAATTTTTTTTACTTGAATTTAATATTTTAAGGGAAAATGGTTTAATTGATGCTTATACGATTTTGGATTTACAGACTTAAATTTTACCTTATTAGCCCACTGAATTACAAATCAAATCTTTTAATCCTATTAGTACACACGCATTGATCAAAAGGCAAAATGACAAAGAAGTTCGATCATATCACTTTACATTTTTTGAACAAAAAAATATATTGAAAATATATAAATAGATATAATGTGCGTTTGATTATTATTTTTTCGCCAAAAATAATGCACTTTTTTCTTCAAATTTCATGTACTTTTTTTTGGCCATAAATTGATTTCATGTTATTGGTGTTGATACCGTTTGTTAGAATCAAACACTTAATATCATGTAAAAAGTCATAGCTAATAGCAAAAACATAGCTTTATTTCTTAACTAAGTCTGTCAACAAATGTCATATTTTATCATAAGTCCAACTAGAGTCATCCCAACCCCCTCGTGAGCGTTGTCATAGATAGAATGTTTCTATTACCCAACACTAACTAGCTCAATTTTTTAATTAAATACCACGCAAAAGCACATGCTTTATGAAACTAGCCTTTGGGTGGTCATGGAGGATAATTAGGCTTTGGTGGTAACAATATAATGTTGGTAAAATAATTATTATATTTTGCTTGTTCATAAGTTATATATTTAAAACAAAAGAAAAAGATGAATCAAAATACATAATGTAACAATAATCCTCTTTCAAGCTTCCTTAATCTTTTATTACAAATCAAAGCATTCAATTCACCAAAATAAAATAAAAAATTAAGTACATATGAAATAGTACATGATGTCAAGCCCAATCAGGGGCTGAACTACAGATCTGCTTATTGATTTTGTGAAACTCAAATCATTTTTGTCCAAAACTTTATATTTATGTTAAAATACAAATCTAATAAGTAGAATTTAGAATTCATAAATTTAAAATCATAGTTCCACCCTTGTCAGCTCATGAATAACTTGTTGGTACTTCTGATGGTGATAGTGATGGTGGTGGTGGTGATCTATGACGATAAGCAGGAGGGACAAGCATACGACTTGCCTTATTCGGATCTGGTGGTGGTGGTGGTGCTTTTTTGCCTTTTAAACCTCTTAGCTCTCTAGCAACTTTAAATTGAGAAAATAATTCCTTGTAGGAATTATCATATTGTTGCATGGACCTTGCTTTTGCTTCATATATATTCAAGGAAATTATTAGAAGAAATGAAATTATACATATTGCCCTCATTGTTTCAAATTCCTTGTAGTATGTAAATAGTTTTGCTTTTAATATAGAAAAAAATATATTTTGTGGATTGGGTCACTGGGGTGAGGAGTGGGTGGTTGGGAGGATTGAGTGGTTATGAGGTGGGGGTTGGAGGCATTTGTTAGACAATCAATTTTTGTTGGGTTCGAAAATGATTAAGGTGTCATGCGGAAACTTACAATTGCAAATCATGATATTGATAAATCAGATGACAAAAACTTATACTAAAAACACAATATTATTATATGGTTTAGTCAATCGGCCTACATATGAAAAACTAATAAAAAGAAAATATTAAAACTATTGAGGAAAAATCTCCCCATAAACAAAACTCTTAATTGACTACATTGTGGATGTTCTTATGTTCATAGTGTGAGAAGAGGGATCCTCTATTTATAGGATTTCATATGTTTCCTCTAAGAAAAGAATAAACTAAATATGGAAGAGAATTATATTTTCTTTTCAGAAAAAAATTAAAGCATTTATGATAATACTTTGACTTTTCTTTTAAGGAAAAAATAAACTTCAAATAAGGTAAGAAAATCAAGGCAAAACCCTAACAATTTTGACTCTCCGCAATATGAATTAACTATCGAGCTTGTTCAATTTCAAAAAACATATATCATCTTTTATTAACATTTTGGTTATGCTATCTCTACTTGCAACTCTATCGCTTAATTGAAGAAATAAAACCATTAAAATGGATTTTTCTCGAAATCGACTCATCTAACATGTTCATTATGTAGGATCGAGCTTGCAACAAATTCTCTAATTAGGCTTTGGTGAAAATAACAATGTTGTTAGATTTTTTTTAAAATATTCTTGTTATTTTTAAAAAGAAAAGAAAATATGAATCGTAATACATAATAAATTCACTCACCCTGAATCCATCCAACCACAACCAAATCTAAGACTCGCAACAAAAAAACATATAAAGGGGGACTCAATCTTACTTATATATAGTGATGGCGAGTGTTGTGCTCATGCGAGTGGAGTTACATATCTTACAAATCACTAAATTTTAGCCCATCTATATTTGTATTTAAAAAATTAATCTAGAACAAAACTCTACCTTTTTCAGAATTCAGAAATTATAAATTCAAAATTCTAGTTTCACTATCCCTATTATAAACTCATGTTCAACTTATCGATGATGGTGGTGGTGGTTGCGGAGATGGTGGTGACGATGGCG